CCTATCCCCTGTGTGCCTTGCCTCCCTACGACTAATTTGGACTTTATAGTCTTATTTTTACTTTTATTATACCTTTACCATTTTATTTGATTTTAAATTTCTTGTTTTTTTTAAAAAAAAATCAATGGCTTTTGACCCTATGCAATGGTAGGCCGAGTCTACTCAGACTTACTCGAGTAACTCGCCTCAGGCCAAGGGCGACTACTTGGCCCGAGGCAAGTTTGTAAACTCTACCAATGATTTTCAATGGAAGTTTGCTTTCATATCTCTATTTTTAGAAATTCCTTATTTTCTTGTTTGTATACATGGATTCGTGGGGCACCAAGAACATATACTTGCTCCTCGAATAAGAGAAAATCTCACGATTGCACATATTCCTTATCTTGGGATTATAAAACTATGAGTTGTGCTTTACTTTTCTACTTATTAATGAAAATCGGGTAGGGCCTTTCTTCCCCACTGACTTAGCAAAAAAAAAAAAAAATCTCACAATTCAATTAAGGGAAAATCGAAGTAGGCATTTCCAGTTTTAACTTTCAACTCTTAGAAGGCTTAATTAAATTCAGCGGGGCTCCTATCTTTCCACTTCTAGATTTCAAACTTCCCATGCAAATCGGGAAGGATTATGCGATCCTTATGGTAGTGGGACTGAAAACAAAAAATAAAATAAAATAAAAAAAAGGAAACGCAAATCACAGAATGAGGTGATGTTGTTTCCGAATTTGAGGCAATAGAATTGCAAAAATTCAGATAATGGATGCCCACACCTCTAATGCCTCAAGGGCAACTAAATTACTCTCGAAACAATATTTTTGAAACTAAAGCTGCAAACCGGTAATGGACCCTATTGAAATAGGTCTAGGTTGGATTTGGACCAAGACCCAGGTCAGTCGATCCGATCTGATTTGCACCGCTATTTGAAACAAAGCCCGATCAGCCACATTTCAATACTTTAGGAATTACGCCCTACAAAAACAATTCCAAATACAAAGTTTGTTGATTTGCTTTCTTCAAATTTATGCTGGTGTTGACACTCGCATTTAGAGAGTGATGTTCATAGTGGATGTTCCAAAAGATCAAGATGTGATTCATCTTGAAACAGTTGATGCAAGGTAACTTAAGGATGCTCATACATAGCTATTTGTGGAAACTCCATGAGTGCCAATGGTCCATCAATCATATATCATCATCGTCAAGTATTTTCTTAACTATTTGGGATCGGCTATCAATCCGATGCATTGGCTTGTACTGGCAACGTGTCAGGCTCGATCTTCGTAAGCAAGAATCGGACCCATTAAGTTGTCTAATTTTCCAAGCATTATTCTAATTCCAGATGTAGTGAGTATCCCGCCATTTCATTGTACTTAATGTACAAGAGAATCCTTCTCGGTCCAAACATTTCCCTAAGGTACATGCATTGAGGTTAGGAAACCTCCTTGGAGTTTTACCAGCCAGCCCATTATTATCGTATCACCATTCTAGAAGGCAGGAAAACATTTTATTTTGTTTGTACAGCTCTTTGCAAAATAAATATACCTTCATACGTGTTTGAGCCTTGAAAAATAAGAAAGTGGAAGGCTAAAATAAGGTTAAGGTTTTATGGAAAAAAGTAAAGCCCCACATAAAAGTGCATAAAAAACTATAGTTCCAAGTGTTAGAAAACCCTCAAATCAATCATCGCGCCCTCAATCATTATGATTATGAAAAACATTAAGATTTCAAGTTTTAAAAATAATAAATATCATGTTTAGACTATTAATTTTTAAGTGTTCACATATTTATAGGATCTTTATCATTTTCTGAGCTACAAATTTTATAACTGGAAACACATGAAAACATATTTTAGAACCATCATAAAGATTTTTCATGCCCCAAGTAGTTTCGAGATAAGATCTCCAAGTGAGGATTTACTCTTTTTCCTTTTTAAGGCCTAGAAATTGCATCCATACTTAATTGTGGATACTTGAATAGACTAATTAAAGTATTTATTAAAGTTGAGGTTGGTAAAGTGGGCCTTGCACCAAACCCCTCACCTAATTCTAGTCCGCACCAAAACTGATAAAGAGAGAAAAATGAAAAAGGTTCAAAGCCACAAGGAGGTAAGGTAAGGGTTGATCCCTAATCGGTACTTAGCGGTCAATTTTGAATATTTCGGACCATTCTCTCTCTCTCCAAAGAGTTGATAGGGATAAATAAACCGAAACGCAGGTACCCAATCTCCACCCGTCTCGCTTCTCTCATCAATCCCTCTCATTCCATATTCGCCTGTTTTCTTCCCCAAATAAACCAGAGCCAGAAAAAAGGAAGGGGAAGAAAGACAGCACTTCCTCCAAAAGATCCACTGGCAAGTCCATAATCCCTATTCCTCTTCTCTCTCCGTTTCAGTACCATCACCCCCTTCCAATCTCAGTATCCCACCACCAATGGCCACCTTATCCCCTATCTCCTCTCTCTCTCCGTCCAACCTCAAATGGGTTCGCTCCAATTCGTCTTTCTACATTCGCCTCCCCTCCTCCTGTCCTTCTTTCTCAAAACCCACATGTTCCCCCATGTCCATTAAAGCTCTCTCTGCACCTGTTCTCACTCAAGACCAGCTCAAGAAGCTTGCTGCCGATAAAGCAGTCGAATATGTAAAGAGTGGAATGGTATTGGGCCTTGGAACTGGTTCAACTGCTGCATTTGTGGTTGCAAAGCTTGGTGAGCTGTTGAAGGAAGGGGCTCTCAAAGATATAATTGGAATACCCACCTCGAAGCGCACAGAAGAGCAAGCTGCTTCACTGGGTATTCCTCTCTCTCTACTTGATCACCACCCCAATATTGATTTAGCCATTGATGGGGCTGATGAGGTTGATCCTGAGCTCAATTTGGTGAAAGGGAGAGGTGGAGCTCTTCTGAGAGAGAAAATGGTCGAAGCTGCATCTGCCCAATTCGTTGTTGTGGCCGATGAGTCCAAATTGGTTGATGGTTTAGGTGGAAGTGGGCTCGCCATGCCCGTTGAAGTGGTGCAATTTTGTTGGAGCTACAATGCTAAGAGGTTGCAGTCTCTTTTCAAGGAGGAGGGCTGTGAGGTCAAGCTTAGGATGGATGGGGATAAGCCATATGTTACCGATAATTCGAATTATATTGTGGATTTGTATTTTAACACACCCATTAAGGATTCGAGAGCAGCTGGTGCTGAGATTTCGAAGCTCGAGGGTGTGGTGGAACATGGGTTATTCTTGGATATGGCCACCGCTGTGATAATTGCTGGTTCGGACGGTGTTACACTCAAGACAAAGTGATAAAGAGGTACACATGCGCCATTTTGTTTAGTATATCTCTCTCTCTCTCTCTCTTTCTCTCTCTCTCTCTCTCTCTGGTATTAGAGGGTGTTTTGCCGATCTAATTATTTGGGAATCTTAGTGAGAGGAAAAGGCATGCCTTTAAGAATGAAAGCTACTTTGATGTACTAGAAACACAAAAGGGAACTTTTGGGTACTGCCTTTCTTTTGTACCCTCCCCTGTTGGGAAATAAAGTGGAGGGCCTTTGAGACTCTTGTTTCTACAAATATATAATTTCTGTTGCAGACTTGTTTTTTAGTTTATGCCAATTTTGATGATCTTGATTTTTTATGTCACATTTTTCCTTGATCCCTTATTTTCTTTGCTGATTGTGACTTGTGAACAATTTCTTTGCATTGCTGGTATCGATTTACTTATAATAGAATTTCACTTCTTGTGAGATATATGAGGTTGTCTGAAATAAAGATTAGGTGCAACTTAGACAAAGGATTCAAATGTAACTTCTCTTTCAAAATGTAAAAATTACTTAGGAAGTATCATTCAAGTCCAATAAAGGGAAAATGATATGAAAAATCTACAAAATATATTCTATAATGTGAGTATACTCTGCCTTAGGAAGTTCATACTTAGAAATGCATAGTACATCAGTAGTAAGCATTTTGACTTTAAAAGATATATGCGAACAGACATGCTTCTTCTTCTGTCTCTGTAGACTGTAGTAACATGGGCTACCAATTATCATTCTATTTCAAGCAGCAAAGAGTGGAGTAGGTGGTAGATAAAGCAAGATGCCACTAGTGGAACTAGGATCAAACGATGCATGTTTGGTGTCATTCCCGCTACATGAAAATCACATGTTTGAGTATTTAATGAATATATATGGAAGCTCAGTAGTTTTCTTTTCTGCGTTTGCCCCTCATTGAACACAATTGCTTCATCCATAGGGCAAGAGATTCCTTAACGACACCTTATTTACTAGATAGGTGAAAAAGTGTTACGTGAGAGATTAACTCAGCTCTCATTTGTCATCACAAAGTGATGTAACCAGAAAAGCTATACAAAATAATTAAAATAATAGTTTCAAGTTTTTTAAAAAAATTAAAGAATTACAAGCAATAACAAACGGGGATAGTTGACAAAAACACCAATTATCTTTAGTACAAGGAGGTCACAACTATTCCCATTCATTAGATGTCAAATTGGACAGTTAGGATAAGTCACGACGTTTGAGCATTTTTGTTTTGAACTTTGTGTCCATTTAATAACACTACCCAGTTTAAAATTTAAAGGACAAGAATGATTGTGAATTTCTTGTACAAAAGATAAATGGTCTCTTTGTAGACAATCCCTGACAAAAAAAAAAGGGTGGGGGTGACTCCGTTTGAGTGACTCACTTGGTTCTCTGATAGAACCAGGCAAGTCACTCTGTATTGGGCCAAATCTTTGTTCTGGACAAGAAGGGTACCCATTGATTCTGATTTGGATAGATGATTTTAAATCACTAGATTAACTAAAAGGTGATGCCATTTCTCCATCCAACTCATCCTTCTTTCTCTGTTTCACTAACTTGAAATGAATGTTGTAAGACCGGGCTTGTGGATGAACGTGAGGGCACTGTTCTGGTCAAACCGGCTGGACATGACCATTTCAATGATCATAAAATAAAAAAAATGAAACTAGAAAAAATACTAGAATTAAAAAACATAGATAAAAATAAGAAAAACAAAAATATAGAAAATGGGCAATACCAGAAAAATATTAGGAATAAAAATATGGAACATTTTTCATTTATAAACATTTATCATAGTTACATTGAAGTGTTAAAGATCCTAAAAAAATAAAATAAAAAAGCAAATAAAAACAAAAAACTGGGAAAAAACCTAATAAAAATTCACATAAAATTGCATATAAAAGCTATCAAAAAAAAAAAAAAGATACAACAGTAAACTCATTAAAGCAACAAAACCAATAAATTGAATAAAGAAACAACCTATTGTGTTGATTTGAAAAAAAATGTTTCTAACAAAAACCCTAAAAGCTCTATTTTCTTTTCTTCTTTTTTTCTATTTCTTTAAATGCAAAACAAGCAAATGAGGAAAATAATGTAACGAACTTCCTTGAGGCTTGAAATAGGATGGTTTGATGGACGGAATCGTCCTGGGAAATCAAATTTCATCAAAGAGATTGAGTGTTTTCAAGTGTGTGTGTGTGTGTGGGAGAGAGAGAGAGAGCTAAAAATTGCCAAAGTTGCTCTCTCTCTCTCTCTATGAAAAATTCCACTTTTGGAGCCCCCCTATTATGTAAAAAGGACCAAAACGTTCCTATTCTTTTTAAGATGGCTAAAAAACCTACTAAAAAATGATGAAAAATGATCCAAAAAATTGAAAACCTGGAGGTCATTTTTCGTCCTTTGTACCCCCATTGGGACCAAGCAACAAACCAGTGGACCAGCTGGTCGAGCAATCAGACCGGCAGGTCCAATTGTTCAAAGATGGTTAGATGGCAATTCGGGTTTGGGGGGTCAATCAGACCGGAATGGCCACTGTTTCACAGGTTCCCGGTTCAGATAGGCAAGTCCGGCTCGGTTCAGATAACTTTGCTTGAAAGGTCCACAAGGGGACCTATCAAGGAAATAAATTGCCATTTCCTCTTCTGCTGTGTCAGACAAAATACATGGCACAACACAAACCTTACCTTCCTTTTTTTTTTTTTTGATAATTCTTCAACATTCATCTCCTCATCCAAAGTCCAAACTCAGTGATTTGTTAGATGTCCCCCACATATTGATGTAATTATAAAACCACACACATAATACTTTGTTTGTGGACTTCACCCATTATGAACTGAATCCTTTATTTATTTATTCCTTCCAGTTTATGGAACTAAACGTGTATGTCCTAAGTGCTTCATAAAAGTTCAAATATAACCAATGAAAGAAGTGGCGGTTGCTTCATGTAACTCAAGAGGCTGGGATCTTGTATATAGAGGTTAAATGGTTGGTTGAATGAAAGCAAACTTAGGTGGCATTGGGGGACATGACATTTTCTATTCTGTAATGGTGCTAGGAAGAGAATGGGTGTCCAAAAGCAGTTCCACATATCCTAGGAGGAAAAGGCTTTAGAAGAATTTAACTGAGTGGAACAACCTCGGACGGAGGGGAGGATATGGGGCTACTAGTCGAGAATTGTTGTAGGAAGAGTGAGGAGGTTCAAAAGTGAAGGGTTGGATGATTAGTCAAATATTGTAAACTAAGGAGGTTCTTGATATGGCTAATCTTTTTCTTGGTTTTCTGGAGGATATTTAATCCTGGCTAGTAAGAATATCGGGGGTCTTGCAGGCTGTTTAAGGTGTTTGGGAGCTTGATTTCTTGAATCCGGTGTATATCATATACCTTATAGTTTGTTGAGCTATATCTTATAGTTTAATGAATCATGCCTTACAATTTGATGAACTCTAGTTAGATTGTTAGATGTGAAATTTGTGGTAACTATACAAGTTGACTTTTGTCACTATGTTATTTACCCACTAGTGGGATTCAATGATTCCGTCTGCCCTATTCTTAACAGGATTGTTGTTTTTCTCTCTTCTCTGACTGAATTCTGGCCATTGTTTTTGAAGCACCATCTTGCTGTGATTCATTAATGAGGTGCCTTCCAAAGCAGTATTCCGCACCTTTGTGACCAATATTGCTGCTCTCTAAGATCCTCTTACTGCAATTCCAAGCCTAACTGTCCTACCTCTTCCATAAATTTGCTTACTTTTCCTTCTTGAGTCAATATAACATTCTTTTGACTGATTCCGTGAAATAATCATCTTTTCCTTTTTCATTCATAATGAATTTATTGGCTGTATTTCCCGTAGTCAGAGTCCAATTACTTTTTTTTCCCTTTTTTCTTGAGCGTTGAGTCGTATACTCTTCCCACTCGGAGATCTGAATGCTAGTGAAGTCATAACATGGTGCCAACATGTCCCTTTCATCTTGTTAAAGAGTCAAGGCAAGATAACGGTCAAAATGATCGCCAGTAAGGAATCAGTGGCAGCTTTGAAATCAAAGGAGAAGAGTTCCTTCAAAACCTTCAACCTACGAAGAGGGCATGTTTGGATTATACTACCATCTACACTATAGATAACCTACGAAACTTCCAAGGAAGATCTGGATTTGCTGAACCGTTCTGGATTAAGTCTGAATTTGTTTGTTGCTGGGTTTTTTTTATAATCATCACGGGTTGCTGAGGGTTTCTGCTTGTGTTTTTCCACTGCCTCCTCTATTTAGGTTGCTGTAGAATGCTGATGAATATGAGAACTATAACTTCCATAGTCAGGATTCCCAATATTGTAATGGCTCTCTGTATGTGCCCATCTATGTGTGTCATCATATGTTTTATTGCCTTTTAGGATGGGTGTGGTTTGCATAAGGTTACAACCTTAAATAATAATCAAATTAAGGTTCACCCCCAAACTTTATCATGAGATACAATTTTGGTGTTGAAAATTCTTAGGATGGTGCAATAATCTATTTTTATCTCTAATTGTAAAATTTTAAACTCCAAAAATGGTTCAAATCAAGTAGATTTGTAAACACACAAAAATAACTGAAAATGGACGGTCTAGATAATGTGTTGCAATATGTACTATTTTTAGGACTTGAAATATCTTTTTTTCTTTTTTTCCGTATCTATACATCTTGATGTCGAGATGATCAATTAGACATTTTTCCAACATCAAATCAACCTTTTTCACAGGATATCAGGATAAATAAGTGTTCTGATATCCGTTGATTTTCTATTAAAGAAATCCGAATTCAAGGAAACGAGGATACGCTTTGATGACCACATGAAACATCTGATCATAAAAATCTTTGCTCTCCAACCAATTGCTTTGATGTTGATGTAGAGGGAGCAAGACCCACCACAAATGGCATCAGCCGAATTGCATGTCCACTCTATCTCCATCACTATTCAATCAGTGATTGAACAATGATGACCCTTACTACATCCTTCATTTGCTGGAATATATGGATTATTGTTTTTGGTTTTTGGTTTTTTGTTTTTTGTTTTTGTTTTGTTTTGTTTTTGTTTTTTTGGATCAGCTTATCTATTGTTACCATGGAATTATTAGCTAATTCTATTATTTATATTGTTCAGTAACAAAGTCCAAGAAGTTTTGTTTTTGATGTTGTTGTGGTTACTTCATTGTTGGTTTGTGTGCTGTAATTGTATTGCAGTTCGGTTTGTGCTTTTGTTTCTAAGAAATATTTCTATAATTTCACTGAAATGAAAGTTTCCTGAGTCACATCTAGAATTCTTTCATATGGGTTTCTTGTAATTCTATTTGTCCTGTTTTTCTTGTAATTCTATTTGTCCTGCTTTTCCCATTCCAAAAGTCTAGAAACCAAATAATTATATATTGGAGATGGACTTTTCTTGCTGATTTCCACCTGGGTTATGATGCCGTAGTGATAGCTTCAGTTTCTGGTTCCGGCAATTACCAGAAAGTTTTACAAACAATTGAAAGTCTATCAATTTTTTCATAGTTGTTTTCTATTTTGTTTGTTCATATATCAAGGTCAGTTCCTTCATGTCTATGTTATCCACACATCGAAATGGGCTTCGGTTCATGCATGTTTCTAAGGTGTATGAGAAAGCGCCTTAAATCTAATGGATAGAGAGAAGATAAAATGATTTTAGTAAAAAATAAAAATGCAAATGCGACAGCCGGGTGGTATATCTGGTAACATAAGTTCACATTTACATTATGTCCATTTACATCCTCTACCTTCCATCGCAATAGATGAAAGGCTAATCAGGCCTAATTGGGGTTAACAATGTCTATCCTGCTGGTGCACTTATATAAACATATAAAGGACATTTTATTTGGATATTGTAATAGGTGGTTTTTTTTGTAAATTCTTGACATGGTTTAAAGCGATTCAGATTTTGAATGGAAACCCAGAAATCTCAATTCACCATTTGGGGACAAGGCATGTTAAGTTCTTAACTCATTTAAGTTACGAAGGGAATGACATGGGAATTTGGAAGCTAAAATTCTATTCGAATCAGTGGTTGACCCACTCTAGAGCACTGGATCGGTCAAATGGGTGATCCAGTTTGGCCGAACCATTGAGAAAATTGGTTAAAAAAAAATAATCAGAGGTTCACTGGAAAGTCTCGGATTGTGCATACACCAAATCCATTCTAGATTGGCGATTCCTTATCTTTTTAAAATATTTATTTGAATAATTAAAGAAAAAAAAGAAGAAGAAGAAGAAAGAAGAAAAAGTAGAAGAAGAAGACCATGAAAGCAATGGGAGAGGAACACAGACAAAAGGACGAATCTTGAAAGGCCAAAAAACTACATGCTAGAAAAGCCAAAGCGTCATGTCAACACATTTTACGGTTGAGTTCTTGAAAAGGCATTGGCCAAGTCAAAGCTACTCATGTTGAGACCTTCAATAACCACCAAAGAGGCTGAATTGCACTCCATCTTTACACGTATCAAAGTATTTAAAGCCCAATCAATACTTCTAAATCATTATAAAATCGCAATAAATTGGTAACTATGGCTTTGGCTAAGCCTAAGCCACTCATGTTGGAACTCCTCAATAAATCATACAAGTGCTGAATTTCGATTAAGGTCAATTTTACACTCATATTTTACACATATCAAGTAGCTAAAGCCTTGTATTATAAACTTCTAATGTACAATAAAAACCACAATAAATTGGTAATTTTGTATAGAAGTAATTTCAAAGCAAAACATAACAATGTAAAAATTGTAAATGTTGGCCAAAAATCTTGTACGCATATTCTCTATATCAAGGAGACCACCACACCAACTAGTGCCGATAAGACCGCCGTGTGTCTGCTTGATGTGTGACCTGGGCTAGCTGAAAATGAAGACATTTTAGCCACAAAAGCAAATTCTCACAGTATGATACATGTACCATTCCAACACATAACATCTAATCATCCATAATCAACAAGGGAGGGTGGAGATGAGCAATTCTTGAGCTCAACCCCACCTATCGGGGTGAGAGAATGGCTCCTCCGGATCTTCTGTTGTAGAATACAAATTGTGATGGCCAGCATCATACCATTCCCGTGATGCGTCACGAAAGTTGGCTAATTGAGCTAAAGGCTTTTTTGATATTGGAAAACTATCTAATAGATCATCTTGACGTCGAGATGTATAGATATTGAACAAAAAAGAAAATTTGAAGTACCAAAAATAGAACATCTTGCAACACATTATTTGGATCGTCTATTTTCAAGATTTTCATGGATTTATAGACATATTTGATTTGAACTATTTTTGAAGTTTAAAATTTTATAATTAAAGATAAAACAGATTATCATACCATCGTAAGAATTATTGACACCAAAATTACATCTTATGACAAAATTTGGAACTGCGCTTCCGTTTGATTGTTTAATTTTAACCTTATGCAAACCAAACCCTTTATCAAATAGCAAGGGCATCTGGTTTCCACCCTTGGCAAATAAAAGGCGTTGTGGTCTTTCTATATGTTTTCTTTATAAAAATCAAATATTACACTTTTAAAGATGCCTTATTATTGGAATCAACCAAATCGTATTTTAAAGTATTTAACATTTCATTACATGTGTTATTTGAAATTTGATCAAACATTATAGTATGATTGAAATTAGGCAAAAATATACGAGTCATTTGTTTAAGGGAAAATATCATTAATAGGCTCAAATTATCTTACAAAATTATCAAGAGGCTTAAAAGATGCTATCTATCGACGTTTACTTTTTAGATTCATTTCATAAAAACACCTCTCAAAAACTTTTTTCGAATATTTTTGAATTTCTCCTATTTAGGTTTGGGAACCTGCACTATCTAGAGACATTTCGATAATTTGGCACATTAAAGTGGCTTGAATCAAACTATAAAAATGTCCCTAATTGTCTAGCGTTGCAAATCGAAATTGCGAAATAATAAAACTATACTTGGTTAAACGATGCTAGCTCATAACAATTTCGAACCTTGTATAACCAAAGGTTTATGTAATTTGTGTCAAGCTACTTAAGCGAGCCAAATTTTCAAAAGAATCATAGTTGTTCAGGTTCTAAAGAAACTCAAAAAAGTAAATCCTCCATTGGGAAAATGGATCTTTCAAGCCCTTTAATGATTTTGTAAGATAAATCGAGCTGACATTTTCCATTTAATTTTTCAACTCTTATGCATGATTAGATAACTTCCCATTAATTAATGATGTATATTGTGCGTTTTGTAGGTAAGATGGAAGAAATAAGACCTTGATTCCCTGATATGGGAGTATTTTGAGATAGACCAGATGGCGAATCCGATCCATTCTTCAACCCTATTCCAAGGTTTGCACAATCAGTTCCAAGATAACCTGCACCAAGAATAAGAATAAGTAAGAATACTTAGAAAGAGGGAAATATTCAAGTGGTGGGTCACCCAAATATGGCACCTAGCAAACCTTTCGGTGGGGGGTAAAGCATAAAAAAGGGTAGGAAATTGGTCCTAAAATTCAAAAAATAAAATAAAAAATATTGGAATATATGTTGCTTTATTTACTAAGTCCAAAAGATCTCCTGTGACTCATCTGTCTGTTACCCTTCCTGCATTACTTTTTGACAGTTTTGGAGTAAATTTAAGGCGTTTGGACGTTGCTTTAGATAAAGTACAACTCTATTCATACCTATAGAGAGAGAGCATGTTCCCAAATTCGGCTGATCCAACTTGGAACTGCCGGTTAAACCGTAACCTGGCACTAGCCGATCTTGTTTTGACGGGTTAGGTGGTTCGGCTAAGTATTTTTTAAAAAAAAATCAAAAAAATATATAAAATCCTCAAAAATTAGGGATTTGTTTGTAATGTATTTTTTTTAATGTTTTGTATCATTTCGACAGAGATTGGAAAATGTTTTGGCCATAAATACTTATTTTTTATATTTTTTCTTTTTTAAAAAAATATTTTTAAAATACCCACGATCACAAATCAATTTTTAAAATTTATTTTTTTAATTACTTTTGTGTTTTGTTTAATTATGCTTTAAATATACTCTTCATCTTTTTTTGAAGTTTTTATATTTTTAACACTATAGACATGACTTGTTCGGTTAGGCCAGGTAAACCGATTGGTTTACCAATTACTCGGGCCCGGCCCTTGGCCTCTTTACGAGTTCAGGTTTATATATATATATAGAGAGAGAGAGAAAGAGAGAGAGAGTGGATACAATTGTTGAAACAAGGAAAGGTAGTGGTGTTCATAAGGTTGGAGTACGCTTCCTTGCACTCGCAACGAAATCCTAAACCTCCTGTCTTCACACAAGTGCCCCCCCCACAGTAGGCATAAGTGCAAGCTGCAAATAATTTCAATGAAAGCATAAGTACAAGCGGCGGAGAATTTCAATGAAAATATTATACTTTATTTTTATCATAATTTTAATTTCACAAGTCTGGTGGGCTAGGTTATAAGTTTAAAAATAGATATGTCCCATGGTTTTGTTGGTTTATGATTGTTTCAATGATTATTTGCACTTATACAGTCTCTCCCAAATCCAAATATATTATCTCCTCCATTGTAACAGCACTTTGAGATGGCACTCAAATTAAAAAATTCTACACACAGTAACCATAACCCTTTCCACATTTATTGAAGGTTCTTCTAGGGTGAGCCTATAAGATTTGACCCGACTCGAGTTTAGGTTTGGACCGCGACCTCACACCCCCATCTGGGTCCACCTCAGACCTTAATGAGGTTTAATGGGTTTTAGGTCAACCTATCCAAACTCGAACCGATCATATATATATATATAGATTTGCACCCAATCGAAACCTACCCATATGGGTCAGTTTGGGGCAATGATATGGACCCCAGCTCGGGTCCACTGTGACCCGACCGAACCCGTTTACTCCGCCATCCGGTGCAAAAAGTAGGTCAGGTCTAGTTGAAAAATGGTTGTATCTTATTGGTTAAGGAAAGAGATGAGAGGGAGTAAAGATATAGAAATATAATTACGATCAAGCAAGGAGGAGTGATTGGTTGGAGGAGCAACGGCCGGAGCTGGCGTCAGCGCCTTGTCACATGAGTAATTCACCGTGCCTGCACATTTGTAAACATTCAACAAATCCAACAAATTTATGGATTCATATCATCCCAAACTTTTGGAATATTTACCGCCGTAGTGTTCATACTTGAAAACTGCACCGACTTATAACTACTAATTTTGAGTTTCCCTACCACTTCAATTCCGGCTAAAATTGTTGCAATCAGTGTAGATAAAATCAGACTCGACCAAAATAGCTGACCCAATAACTTGGCCGACTACTTAAAGATTATGCTGTGTCCAATACATGTCCTTTTGGACCCTATAAAAATTAAAAAAACATAAAAATTTGTGAAAAATAATAAACTTGTACTAAAAGTAAATAAAAATCCGAAACAATTTTTAAAATTTGAAAAATCCGATTTTACAGTTTAGTATATTTAAAATTCCAAGAAAGAGAAAGATATAAAACTAATTGTTTATAACAAATAAAAGTACCTACCAATATTTACCAAATACATCCAGATCATATAAAAAATATTATAAAACAATCTAACAATTTTAATTTTTTTGAGAATATTTTTAAATCCCTGAGTTGTCTACCCAACTTGGACGAGGCGAATTGCTCGCCGAGCGAGTCACGGTAACACTGGTTGCAATATTTATTCAGAAAACAAGATTTTAGTTTTTTGAAAATTTGAAGCAGTTTAAGTTTCCAACATTCGATCAATTCTTTAAAACAATTTTGTGTTTGAAAAATATCAAAACTCGACCTAAATTCACCTCTGAAAATTAAATACCAGAAAGTTTTACCAGAGCCTGTCCAGCGCTATCAAATAATAGCTTCTCAAACTTGTAATTTTTTTTGCGTTTCTCATACATTTTTCTCGTCAGTCACTTAAAAAAAAAATACCACAAAAAATTGCAGTCAATTTAAATCAAGAGCGAGGGTTACATAGTTGAAGGAAACACAGAGTAATCTAAACCCCAAAAGTCGGAGGATCAAAAAGCATAAATTCTCATTTGCGAGGGAGAGATTACACTTTGGGATAACACAGGGTAGAAACTTGAAGGCAGAGTTGGAAGGGAACTGCATCCACCCAGGGTCGCACTCACAAACAAAGGGTATGGCATGGCTCGTATTAACCTTGCAGCTTCCTTTTCCACACCCCACTGTATCGCAAATGTTATCTGAAACCAAACCACAAAACCACAATCATAAACTTCACATTCCACAGCAAAACAGAGAAGAATCAGAAGATTTAAACAGTTCCTAGATTAGATATACGAAAAGAAATCACGAGATTTTTAATGAAATAGTTGAATAAGATCCTGCGGAAAATACCCAAAAAGGGCCAGGAATCATTTCCTAAGGCTTTGATTGTTGGGAACAATTGAAAGAAGATGAATAAAACGAAGGGACTGAGATGCTGAAAAGCCATGTTCTCCTGCAACTTAGAGAGAAAGAGAGAGAGAGAGAGAAAGTAAAGTTCAATTTGATGGAAGAGATGGCGTAGGGTTATGGTGGACGGGTCTTTATATGAGGTTGGGCTTTGAATCTATGAAAATAAATGTGCTGAGAATATGTGAGAGAGGGGTTCGAAATTCAGAGGCCTTTGAAAATGTGAACAAATTGATGGAAAATGAATGCGACGCGCTTTGAAAATATGGAGGATTTTTTTTTTTTTTAGCAACGGCGGTCCATCGAAGGGAGTTAAAGCGGGTCGTTATGGAGGCTTGCTCAATTACCGAGGAATGGGAAAATGTTGGCCTGAAATGTCCCTGCATTTCATGTAAATGGCAGTCGAGCTATTTGTTGGGGCCGCCTTCCCTTGTCACCAAAAGAGAAAGAGCTTGCCTTTCCGTTTGAAAACCTTCGCCACACACACACCTGACCATTTACAAAGAAGTTCGAGTCTTCAGTATAAATAAATAAATAAAAAGTGTACTGACTCTGACTCGGACTCACCTTATAAACGAGGCAAGTTTTTGCCTGAGTGGGCTATACCTCCCCCACCATCTATACTCTTTATCGCAAATCAAAACCATGCAAACAACTTCGTGGTAGCAATTATCCAAAAATAAACAAAAGCTTCTTGGTAGCATTCCCGCCGGTCTTGCCAGTGCGGGGGAAGTTATTTCTTATATACTATTCTTTTGTCGTTGTTTTATTCTTTTTTAATTTACGGTGGACTCGACCGAGTTATTCGGACTTGCCAAAAGTAAATGAGTTAGAGAGAGCGTGTGTGTTGTGAACATTTTTTTACGGTAACAAGGCTCAAAATCAAGCAAAGCAAGGTACTGAGACTTGATTCATGGGTACTCGCCTATTGCTTGAGACGAGTTATTCGGGCCAGTCCAAATAACTCGTTTGAGTGCATTATGAATTAAAAAATAATAAAACAATGATAAAATAATAATATATAAAAAATAGGCTGCGGTTTTTGTATAAGGTCGAGGATCTAAACAATCAAAGTACAGTGCACGTTCAAATAGTATTGAGAAATGTGGTTTCAATTCAGGAAATTTTTGTGATAACCTTAACATATATTTTCATCTCTATTATAAAATTTTAAAATTAAAAAATATAATAGATTGAGCAAATCAATGAAAACTTGACAATATTGAAAATTGACAGTCTAAAAATGCATTGCAAGATGCACAATTTCCAAAACTTGAAATCTATTTTTTTTTCTCATGTCCATACGACTTGAGATCAAGATGATCAATTTGAAAATATTTGAACATCAAAACAACCCCTTCTAATGACAATTTTGAGATGCACTTTAATTTGATTGTTTAGAGCCTCATACTTATAAACTTTTTCCCTTTACTTTTTCCTTAGCAATAAAGGTTAGGGTTTGTATCAAAAACATGTATAGGTTGCTCCAGCGGGAGCGTACGGTACAACAACTCCCTCGGGAAAATAGGTAAGGATTTTTTTCATCAAAAATTTTGGGATCTAAGTATTACTAGATTATTAATTATAAGAAAAAAAAAATAGTTTTTGAGTTCTTGAACATCAATTAATTTTGGCACATAGAGAGTGTGACTTAATTTTGCACATAGAGAGTGTGACTTAATTTTCTTTTCCTTGAGGTTGGTCTCGGGGTTTTAAAGATTAAATCTCCAAAATTTGGGACCCAAAAAATATTCCTAAACTTGAATTTTTCTTAAGGGGAGCAAATAGACAATATGCTCCCATAGGAGCATGAATATTAATCCCAAATTATGTTTAAAACCCCATAATCCATTTATGGATTATCTACCCATTGTACCGATCTGGATCAGCAGAATTGGTTGAAAATCAGTAAAAAATTTATACAAAGTTGTATGACACCAAACTTGTATATATGATAAAATTCGGAGGTGCGTCTTATTTTGATTGTTTAAGGTTGCAACCTTATGCAAACCACACCCCACGGAAGACGTTTAGATAAGGTTGCAACCTTAAAATATAGAATTAAGTTGCATCTCAAAAGTCCATCATAAAAAGGTATTTTGATGTTAAAAAACCCTCTAATTGACAATTTAAATATCCAGATGTATGAAAATGAAAAAAAAAAAATAAAACAATAAAAAAAGAAAGAAAAAAAAAAAGAATTTCTAGTACCAAAAATAATTTATCTTACAACACCTGAGGATTCCTCCTTGCCGAGGGGAACCCAGATGGGTTACCCACCAAATATAATCTAGATAAGTGATTCTTGATTTGACTCTTTCAAACTTTGGTTGTCTAGAGTAAGAGATCATGTCATCATACCTAAAAATGCGGGCTAATTAATTAAGAAAAAACTTTACATATGGCCCCACCCTATCTGAATGGATGTACCTAATAATGCTGGCTAATTAGTTAAGTAAAAATTTTACATATGGCCCCACCCTATCTGAATGGATGGTTTAGATTGCTTTAGTGTGACTATGTAAAATTCCATATGGACCATATTTTTTTGGGGGGGTTAATTATAAAATGAGAGTACGTTGTTTTTAAATTACCTGCAGGGATTTTTTTTCCTAAATTATCTTCTTTTTCGGTTAACTGAACACTGTTCGACGTTTGAAATACCAACTCTTTAAGTTTTTTAAGTTTAAAGTTTGTTGTCCGATATACCGGACAACTTCTTTTTCTCTCTCTAAACATTTAAACTCCCCTTCATTTCCCTCTTTTTCTCTTTTGCCATCAAAACTCGCAAGCGAAACCCACTTACGATTCTCTTGTTTGTCTGTGTCTTCTCTTTCTCTCTCCTCTATGTCTCTTTATTTTCGTTCACTGTCCTCTATCCAAATATAATCCGATGGCTTACCCACCAAATATAATCTAGATAAGTGATTCTTGATTTGACTCTACATTGTTTCAAACTTTGGTTGTCTAGAATAAGAGATCACGTCATGATACCTAATAATGCTGGCTAATTTAATTAAGTAAAAACTTTACATATGGCCCTAACCTATCTGAATGGTTGGTTGAAATAGCTTTAATGTGACTTTATGCAAAATTACATACGGATCATATTTTTTTGGGGGGTTAATTACAAAATGAGAATACATTGTTTCTAAATTATGGGCGGGGATTTTTTTTCCCAAATTATCTTTTTTTCCGGTTAACTAAATACCGTCCGGTGTTTGAAATACCAGCTCTTTAAGTTTTTTAAGTTTAAAGTTTGTTGTCCGATATACCGGATGACTTCTTTCTCTCTCTCTCTAAACATCTAAACTCCCTTTATTCCTTTCTTTTTCTCGTTCACCATCAAAACTCGAAAGCAAAACCCATGATCGATTCTCTTGTTTGTCTGTCTTCTCTTTCTCTCTCCTCATCGTCTCTCTATTTTCGTTCTCTGTCCTCTATCCAACCTCGCCATCATTCGATAGCCCCATTCTCTCTCTTCCCAAGAAAATTACCCAACATGCTCTCTCTTTTCTTTTTCTTTCTCTCTCCTCTCTCTACCCTCCTTGCTCCCTTCATCCGTGGCTCTATCCGCTATCCTCTCATGACCAAAACCCAACATGGAGCTACCCACCGTGCCATCTCTCTCTCCTCTCCATCTCTCTTTTATCTTTCTCTCTTCTCTTTCTAACCTTTCCATTCACAATAAGCATATTGCATCAAATCCATGAAAGGTTCTTGTTGAGGTCGAAATTCATTGCCCTGCTCTCCCGACCATGTTCTAAGCCAGGGTTATTGCTGCTCTTCTGAACCACGACTTCCGCTTATCAAGTCGAAGGAGCTGTTCTGAGCCAGGGTTATTGCTGCTCTTCTGAATCACGACTTCTGCTTATCAAGTCGAAGGAGTTGCACATGAAGATGGCAGAGGACCTAGTACATGGGATGTGTTTATTCAACAACCCGGTATAATACCAAATAATGCTACAGAAGTAGCATCTTTTCAAAGAGGATGTGGATATCATGGCAAATATGAACATGGATGCTTACATATTTTCTATCTCCCGGTCCCAAATCTTTTAGTAAATATGGGAGGGATAGGATATTGTGCCTTGTATATTATTACAGTTTAAGTATATATGATTTAGTTTTTATTAATGTCACAAATAACTTGTCTATAAAAAAACAAATCTGTTCATATCAATTAATGGACACTGAGTCTCTTCAGAGAAACCCGAGACTCTTAACATCCAGAAGGTGTAGGACGAGTTGATAACGAAGATGTGGATATCACGGCAAATATGAACACGGATGCTTAAAGATTTTCTATCTCATGGCTCGAATCTTTTCCGAAGGTGTAGGACGAGTTAATCATAAAGGAGTGGATTATTAACACAGATTGATTGATTACTTGCTTGAAAAGGGTATTACTCCTTATACAAATCTCTATCATTATGATTTGCCATAGGCTTTTGAGAACTCCTACAATGAGCTGCTAAATAGCAGAGTTGTGGATGATTTCGTAGATTATGCAGACTTTTGTTTCAAAACTTTTGTAGACAGAGTCAATAACTGGATGACTTGCAATGAGCTTAGGGTTATTGCTGCTCTTCCGCTGTTTTGAGCCAGGTTTTTTAGGCCTACCTCTGTAGGTATCTTTGGTGGTTCTTTTAGCGAGGATTTTAGCCCAAAAAAGAGGATCGCATGGACGTGGTTTTGGATTGGTTTGGTGGCATTTTGGAGAGAGAGAGAGAGAAAGGGTAGAGATTAGAGAGAAAAAGAGAGGGAGAGGCTAAGGGTGAGGTGTGTTAAACTAGGTGGAACCGGGCGTTGTGATCATTTAAACCCACTTGTCCGGGTTTACCAGACAGGGGGTAACTTGGAGTGAAATTTAGATTCAACTTTAGCTTATTGGGGCCGACATCTAAATTAATTGCTTAAAAGATTTTGATACAAATAAAAAGACAAAAGTGTTCCTTAAAGTTCGATAGGTATTTTGGTATTTTTTTTACCCAAAATAATTTTTTGTTATTTTTATGATGTGTGCCCCTATGATATTTGTGCATGCCCTAAATTTCATATTTTGAATTATTAGATCAAGACTTAGCACTCGAGAGCTAATTTATAACATTTGATTAAAGTCATCACAACTGGGCAGATCGGACGGATACAGTTAGGGATCTCATGTGGTATTTTTGTTACCTTTTGTTTATGTACTCCGTATCTTGAGAACGTGTTGTGCATGTTCCTGTATTGTACCGAATACCACGTCCACAAATTTTATTCTAAAATAGGGAGAGAAAATGTGTTTGAGGCATACTAAGAATCATAGAAT